CTTCCAGCAGCACACACACTGCTCTGGCTTCGACCTGATGTGTTTCATCTTATGCCCAGAGCTGTGATAGATGGAGTATCCAGAGAAAATACATGAGATTAAATTAGATTATTTATATGTTTTCAGAGATGGGAAGTCTTCAGTGAAGTACAAGCTATTTTATTAAAAACAAAAATAAAATCCATTCCTAGAGTTCTAACTTAAGCTTCAAATCTTGAATTAAAAAGACAAGGGAAAAGGGAAATTTGAGAATTAGGTTTTGGTTTGTGTATTGACCTGTTTTCTAAATCATTTTTTTTTACAATTCTACAGTTCAACTAAGTACACCAATCAGACATTCCCTGTATTACCTGAATATAACTGCTTACACAAACATTTAACAGAAATGCTCTGTTTACTACACAGGCTGTATAAAATTATCACAACCAGAAATTCTCTAAGGCAGTTTACGTGTTCCTTTCACACCACAACGTGTGCATTCTAATGAAGATACGCACACTAAAAATTTTTTCCAGTATACAATTTAAGAAGTGAAGAAAACACTGCAGCTTAAATAAGAGCTGTGTTCAACCTCAGGACTCCACCAGTTCTAAACTGTGGGTATTGTAACACAGGCAAAAAGCCAGACTGCAGTTCATTACGCACCTTAAATACCCTGCTCCCTCCATCCATCCTTTTCCATAACCTAAAGGTGAATCCAAGCACAGTATATTTCAGTCTTGAATGTTTTTTTGCCTTGGTACGGTCTCAGTAAGACCACACTCTCTCTCATTAAGGAACTCCATGTGGCATTTGTAGTCAACTCGTCATGTTAGGTGTATAAGCAATAGTCACGTAAATGTTTCCATTCATGTGTTTTGTTTTGTGATTAAACCAACAAATCAAACATTGTACTTTTTTAAATAGCAACCAGTATTCAGATTCAGTGTCAAGGAAATGCGGACAGAACACGCGTGGGGTTTGTTGATGAGTCATTACCTGTATCTCAGAACGAAGGCTGAGCTGGAGTGAACCACACACTCCTGCGCTAACCGTGTCCTGTTTCCACAGGTACCTAAATCAGCGGCACAAAAGGAAAACTGAGGCATCTTTAACTGAGGCTGTTTTGAGTCCCCAGTAACAACCGAAAAAAAAAAAAAAAAAAGGGAAAGGAAATAAAGGAAAGAATTGATATTATAGTTGGTGTAGATCTCTCTCTTTTTTTCAACCTCTACTCCTGGAGTCTTTATAATATTTCATAGGTGCATATTTTATGTAAAGCCTTTGGATGGAGTTTACATCGCTCAGGAATATGGAAAATGCAGCCACAATTGTTTTTGGGGTGGGATCGGTCACTTCCCTTCCTCCAGCAGCTGGTGCAGGGACAGAGCCTGGACCCCAGCTAATGATCCCGTGCTGTACTACAGGGAGCTCACAGGGCACCCACAGCCGCAATGCCAACCCCCAGCCTTGTACCTGGGCTTCTCAGCCGACTGACAGCACCCTGCACATCACTTCCACCGCAGGTTAAAAGCAGTCACCTACAAGCTGAAATCTCAAAAGGGCAAAAGTGAGCTTGTTTAAGGGCACTGACCGACAACGTGTTTGAGGTGCTCTGCCAGGAGAGGCTCAAAAATGTCAGCCAAAGCTACTGAGCTTCCAGCTCCCTCTTTTCAGCTATGGATTTACAGGGAAAAAAAAGAGCGGGAAATAGCAATTCTCTTCTTGATGAAATGCAAATAGCACAAGAGAAAGGCAAAAGGACCAAACCAGACCCAATTACGTGTGTGTCATCTTTTGCCACCTGCCTCTCCCCCGCCACTGCCCAGCTATAAGCGCAGGCATCAAGCACTTTCAGCGGGCAGGCACAGAAGGAAAGCTGTAGCAAAAAGACCAAGGCTAAACAAGCTTATGGTCTGCACTTGAGGAAAAGGACAGAGTAGCTGCATGAAACATCAGTGGCAGGAGTTCCTGCTGTGAGTCCAGGGAAGCTCTGCCCCATACCGGCAGCAGGCTGAATCCAACCTTAAGTCATTCTGACAAGAAAGCGGATATGAACCAAACGGAGCAAGGCTGCTCAGCAGCCGAAGGGGACGGGTTCTCCCTGTGAGGAACTGGGTCACACAGGTTCACGTGGTGTAAGGACAAGGCGTTCCTGGTAACCACAGCTATTTGTCAGGGCTGGGTCCCAACCCCACGCCTCTTGGCAGACAGACACCCACCTGCTGGTGCAGCAGCCAGGCAAGGGCAGCGCAGGGCAGCAGGCAGCACTGGGCTGCAGTAGCCAGTTCGGTGTACGCTGGGTGCCAAGACTGCCCTAACAAACACAACTCCTACCCCTTCTGCAGCACTCATCCCTCCTCTTCTGGGGCTGCCAGACCACGCATGGTACTGCACGTGCTGTGCAGCACCAACTAACGCCAGGCAGGAGAGGACTGCAGAGACAGAGCAAACACAATCAGATGCATCCCATCCTGTCCACAAGAAGACAGAGAGCAAGCCTGTGCTCTGGCCACCAGCTCCTGAACTAAAAAAAAAGCCCAGTTTCTAACTAAACACAGGCCTCTCAGCCCATCAGAAGTGGGGGGGGAGAGGGGCTCACAGGCAAAATTAAAGCAAGCAGCCAACCTCCTTCTACCAGCTTCAGAAAACAGCAGGTATCCTCTGCTGCACCCTTCCAAGCAGCACCTCTGTTTACCAGACCTAAGCCCTCTTGTGCTTAGTCTCACTAATAGTCTAATCATAATTAGGGAATGTAAATAGCAGCAATCAAGGCAACAGCTCAGAGACAGCTCTAATATCATGACTCAAACACCACAGCCACCTGGCGCACGGAGCAGTGACCACCTTTTATCTTCTTGTTTGCTCCAAATTACTGCTTAATTAAAATGAACTCGTTGAGTTTGTTTAGCAAAATAAGTTTAGTTCTGTGTCAATCGCCTTATTGATCAGCACTACCCTCGTCTAGAGAGCTTGTTGGGAAATACATGCAAGACCCATCCTTCCAAAACTCTGAAGACAGCACGCAGGAGGAAAATATAATGTGCCAAAGAACAAGCAACTCAAATTACAGCAACTCCGGTGAGGCCTGAAATACAGCACAGGTGTGTCACTGCACGACACCCTGGGACAGGAAATCGTTAGGCCATGTGAATTGGTAATGAGCCCAACCCAGCATCTTCACAGGCAGAGCACACAAATGGTCAGACGCCAGGGTGCCGAGGCTCAGATCTGTTCATAATAAAAGCTTTAATAGGTGTGGTAGGAAACCACAGCACAGAGAGGGCAGGAAGGAAACAAAAGAAATCTCAAAGTGAAGTGAAATCCAAGAGAGGAAAGAAGGCCAAGTCGGTGCTGAGAAGGGCAGTCAAGGCTTCCTCGCCTGGGGCTCTGACTCAGTACCACGTGTCTGTTCGGCTGCACAACAGGCAGGTGGTGAACCAGAGTCCAGGATGCGGCCTTTTGTAGGCAGGCCCCATTAGCTTCTCTTAAAACTCGCCACCTTCTTGCAACCTCGGTGCCGGGTACTTCTGATGTCAGGATAATGGGCACACCAAAAGCGCCGCATTTGAAGTTAACAAGCTGTTGAGAGCCAAGTGCGTGTCCTCTCAGATCAGGCTGTAAAGGCAACTTCAAAAGTACACTTCTTAAAAAGGATCTGGCAGAAATTCAGAAATGAAAGAATAATTAGGGGCTTGAAAATTTCTCATTGGCGGCAAGAATGGAAAGATGGAGATGTTTGCATTAGGGAGGAACTGCAGAAGAGAAGACTTGCTAAAATAATTAGAGGCACAAAGAAGATAGCGGGAGGCACCTGTCCTCTCTTTCTTGTAACATACAGGGGCTACACAATAAAGTGACAGAATTCAAGGTCAGGCATTGTATGAAGTTAACAAAACCAGCTGAACTCATGTAACCATCACAGCCATCTGGAAGGGAAGAGAAACCATGTGATGTGAGGGTTAGCCAGACCAGAAGGTGTTAGTGAGGAGAGTATCACCAAACAGCAGCAGATTAATTCCCTGCAAGCTCCTTCCTTGCCCTCTCTTTTGAAGCATCTGATCCTGGCAGCTGACCCCAGGCAGCCTCAGGACCAGCTCAGCCTGACAAGCCCAAACTCCCAGAGAAACTCCGCCCGATCACAGGGATGGTGGCAAAGATGCTGAGGCAAAGCAGGGGGGAAATCCAAGCAGTTTTTAGCAAGGCTCCCAGGGAAGGTCACCTACCACTGTCCAGCGACACCTCTCTAACACACCTGACCTCAAACACCACGAGGCTGTCACTTCAGCTGGCCAGACTGAGATTACTTTTTCTTCACAAAAATATGAATTGCTTGTAAGCTTTCAACTAATAGAGTTTCATTCTTTCAAAGAGGAATGTTTTTGCTGATGGTTTTACATTAACTGTAAGCGAGTCCAAACAATCGCTCTCTCAAGGCCAAAAGTCAGAGGCCAACCAAGCACTGGTTCCACTCACTGAACACGGCACAGCCGCTTAGTGAGAAGCCCAGCCAGCTGAAAAGCCACGTCAGCCCCTGAATATCGCCAGCAGAATTCAGTGCAGAATGATCCTAAAATTCTACATTAAGTGCAATTAGGTTTTTTTTTGTCCTATACACAATTACACACAAGGACTGCCAAATTACCGTTGTGCCCTGTTTTAATAAAATAATCCAGCTCATTTCGTATGTAATAAATTCATTACTCTTTGGGGTTTTGCTTTAAATTATAAGATGAAGCATAGCTTAACAGAATTCATTTAAATACTACTGTGCTTTTAGCAATTAATAATGTCACAGCTCTGTAAACACGCTTCACTGCGCTGTCTGACTTTCGCAGGGTTTGGCTTGGTGAATCCACACCAGCTCCCACCACAAGTTTCAGAAGGCAGCTTGCAATGACGTTCACAGAAACACAACACAGGGTGATCGCGCCAGTCCGTCGCTGCCCGCGGGTTCGCCGGCCCTCGCCCTGCCCGCTCCACGGTGCCTTCCACCTCACCACAGGCGAGAAAGCTGCATTTCAGAGTTCCAGGTCCTGCAGGGCTCCCCAGCTAGGTCCAATTTTCACTCTGACATTCAGTTTTACTGAGAGTTCAATGGCGTTTTCCATCTCATGCTTGACAATCTGAGCGACCTACAAGAGAAGGGCAGACATCAGATGTACACCTAACTGCAATGCTCTGTTTTTCTGTCAGTAGCTGGGGTGGCCGGACACCTGGAGTCCTCCCCTGTGCTTACTTGCACTGAGTTACCACTGATGGGAACGCAACCAAACATTTTAATCCTGATCAGGGTTTACGAATGGAGAAACTGTCTAAAGCCAGTAACGTTTTATGCAGCACAGAGTTGTGACTGGTTCCGTACTGTTTAAGACTACTTAGAAGAGATGCAAGACTAAGTATCCATCAAACACCCGAGAGTCCTGCAGAGTCTTCTCTTTCACCCAGCTGCGTAACTCTAAGAGTTCCGTGGAGTCTTTCTTTCAATGTACTGAAAGCAAGGCACAAACCAAATCCTCCAGAGGCAGAGAACAGTGTTCCTCCTTGTGTAGACGTGAGAGGTGCTCCGTGAAACACAAACCCCAGACCTCTGAGAAAGTGGATCACATTCAGCGAAGGCGCTAGAAATACTGCCCAGGTTCACCCTTGCTATTTTGTTGAGGCAACTGCAACATTTGCTGCCCCCCAAAGTATTTGTAAAACACTCACTTCAGTACAGTTATGGAACCAGCAGATATTTTTGCCTGTAACTTTCTGGATTGTAAGAGACTGGATTATTTTTCCTGACTCTAAATACCTGCCCTGTATAAAAGGACACTCTTCCTACCACAAGACCCATGCAGAGTCCAGCCTGGCCTGATTGCTTATTTGAATGAACCTTTCAATCCACACCCACCCCACAAACCTTTCCGCAGCAGAATGAAAAGAGGCTGTGAAATGACTGTGACCCCTCACCTCAGCTAGGGGCCACTGTGTCAACGTGGGAACTGCTCAAGCTTTCTGACCCTTCCATGCATTTTCATCATTTCCTCACAGTAGAAATTCCTCCATAGTTTTTACTGGGGAATGGAGGAGGGATTTGAGGAGATCAGAGCAGGAGAGTTTACAACAGCACTAAGAATTAGGGGGAGATTTGTCTTCCAAAACCCTACGTTCTTACACATCACATTTCAAAGTGATCTTGATAACCTAGAAAAATGCTTTGGAATAGGATGTAATTCAGCACAGACGAGTACAGAGTAGAAAGAAGGATAGAGAACTAGGGTAGAAATAATCTACTGCTCAAAAATAGGATGAAAAATAACTGCCTGGGCAGGAAGAAAAATGGGGTTATCAGAGATCACAAACCAAACAGGGCTTAAGCATGGCACGCTGTTGTGAGAGAGCAAATGCAATTCTGCAACACAGAAAATGTTGCTTCTGTGACACAGATCAATTTTCCATTCTGCTCAAATCACTGCAGCCTTGATCAAGTTTGGGGGCCAGTATTTCAAAAGAAACATGAACCCTCCAGGGGGAGATTCTCTGAGAATAGTCACAGGTCCAGCACACACCAAGGAACACCAGATTAGAGCTGCTGCACCTACAAGGAATGGCAGCTGCAGGGGAGACATGAAAACCTGCGTGAGGTTCCTGGGGAAGCTGATGGGAAGAGATGGAGCCACCAACAGCCTGACCTGGGGGGCTTTGGGCTCTGAACTTCATGTACATTAAGCAAACTGCGTTGTTTCCAGGGTCCTCAATGGCCAGCGAAAACCCACTTGGGGGAATCCTGGCCACCTTAAAAAACATAAGCGCAAGGATGCTGGGAACAAGCAAGCAGCTTAAAAGCATCCAGCCTTTGATTCTTAATCCAGCCTATACCTTTTATGTTCCCAACTGAGCCCTCGTTGCTAGGTCGAAGGTCAAGCCTCCTTCTGCCGTCACTGGCAATATCATCACAGTCTTGCTGCTTCATAAGCTCTGAACGCTCCCTACCTTCACTTTGACATTCTGCAGACTAGGAAAGCCCCGATGCCCCAGGCATTTCACACTTTTAGCACAAGAAAAAACAGGTATTACCCCGATGTGATCCTTTAAAAGAGGCAAGCTAGCTCACTGATAGCCTGCAAATGAGGACAGAATGATCACTAGCCATGTTTCTCTTACAAATACCCTAACTGGAACACAAATTCCTAGATACATGGAAAGATATTTTTAGTTTTCTTTTGTGCACTTTAGCAGCTGAAAATAAGCTAGAGCCAGCATCAAGCACGTGACCAAACTAACTTGTCTGAATAAAAAAATCGCTGTTGCAGCCAAGAAATACACAATTTACAGTATAATAAAGCTTTAGTGCCAGCAAGATGGAAAAAACCTCACTGATACAGAAACCAAGAAGTACTCACTTCTTTACTAAAAGGTATATTGTAGTTCAAAAGGACTAATTCATTCAGGCCCTACTTTGGGGGGGGGGCTTAAGAGGGAGAGACTTCAAGAGATCCCTCTCAGTGAGGGTGACAGAGCACTGGAACAGGCTGCCCAGAGAGGTTGTGGAGTCTCCTTCTCTGGAGACATTCAAAACCCGCCTGGACGCCTTCCTGTGCAACCTCATCTAGGTGTTCCTGCTCCGGCAGGGGGATTGGACTAGATGATCTTTTGAGGTCCCTTCCAATCCCTAACGTTCTGTGATTCTGTGATCCTCTCCAACCAAGATCTCTCCACTATACAATAATGCTAATGGTGCACCTGAAAGGACAGCGGGAATATTATCACAAAAAAAAAGATCCTTTCTGGCCCTAAACCCAGTTAATCAAAGGGGTAAGAAGTACCTGGTTGTCTCAGCTAGACAGAAACCCTTGAAAAACAAGCAAATCTGGCACACAGAAGCAAAGTTTGAGCTTAGGAAACATGCCCTGGGTACATACGCTGTTTTAAGTGACTGCCCAGAAAATCTATGGACAGAAATAGATCCGGAGGAGGTTAGAAGAGCTGGTGATGATTGCCCCTGGAGTTGAGCTGGTTAATGAAAAAATACAATCCAATAAATAATAAGCAAATCTACTCACTTGGTCCCAGTTCTTCTGGAGACACCGTGATAACTTGGAGTCAGTATCTAAAGACATAAAAGCCTATACTTGGGGGATTTCAGTTTTCTACAGAAAGAAAATTAGGATCCTTTTCATCTCTAAAACAGCCTGGATTGAAGCAGCAGATGTCTGACCAGAGCTGGCAAAACAAACAGAAGCTTGAGCTGAGATTCAAGAGAAAAATATTAAGCTTTTTATTAATAATGAATTTTTTTTTTTTTTAAGAAAATGCTCAGGCCAGTGACTACAGCTGAAAGCTCTCTCAGCTCAGGAGTTACTGCTTGCAGTCAGAAAACGACCTTTTGTCATTAAAGCTGTGTATGTGCAGAACAGAAGTGGCAGACGGACATCCCTGAGCTATGGAAGCGCACCCTTGGAGCCTTCCTGCATTTCGGCTTAGGCTTTGGGAAACCAGTGAGCTGCCAACACACAGCTAAAACGCTCGCACATCTCTTGTGCCTGCCATGCTGCTAACCAGCACCATAACTCTCCTACTGGGAAGATGGGTAGGTAGGGAATGAGGAAACAAGTCCCAGAAAGCAAGGAGCCCTCCTTTCCCTGCACAGAGTACAGACTGCAGCTGTAACAATACAGGTTGTGAGCCAGGCACCTGCAGACACAAGTGTGAATGGGGAGGCAAAAATACCTTCAAACGAGGAAATACTTCCCCCTGCACCTGTCAACAGCATTAAGCTGCTCCACTCATCAAGCCTTGCAGAGAAGTTGTACAAAATGCTGGTTTAAGTAGCAAAGCACACATTGGAAAAATGAACTTGAATCTGAAAATAAAGGGATCGAGAATATAAACACCAGTTTATAAACAGCAGCATAAACATCCAGTTTAACACCGTCTGCACAGACCTTTCAGCACACAGCGAGAGAGGGTCCAGGGAAGAGAACCTGAGCCCTAGAAGAAAAGCTTGTCTGAAACATCGCAACGCAGCAGAGAGCTGAAAAAGCCCCTGCACGGCCGTACCTGGATGACATCGTCCTCTGCAACTTCGTAGAGGAGCTCATCGTGCAGCTGGAGGATGAAGAAACCCCCGCTGATGGGGTGTAACATCCCTCTGCTTCTCTGCCTCGCCAGCTGTCCTACCAAGGTGAAGAGCACAGGTCGTTAGGTACCCTACGCAAAGGCGGTTCCTGTCATTAAGAAACCCTCACACAGAAAAAGAACACAAGGAAGTTTAAAATTAAAAAGCCCATGCCTAGAGATAAAGCCACAAAACCGTACTATTTTATCAATATTTGTACAGCTAGTGAGGGAAAAATGTTAATGAAAAGCATTTTAGATATAAACACTTCAGCCTTACGCTATACAGATATGAATCAGAACAGAAACAAGAGACAGTTGCATCTCCTGAACCATTTGCTTTAGAAGTACATTTTAAACAAAACCATGTCAAGATTCATCAGAAGTTGGTTTACCATGTTCTCTCTGGCAATGATTTAGGATTCTGCTTTTCTTCCAAAATCATTTGAGCGGCTACTCTAAAAAGGCAGTAAGCCTCCTCCCAAGTGCAGTTATGTGCAACTGGAGCTACTACTCCTGATTTTAACACGGAAGGGAAAAAAGAGCAGTTTTTGAATAAACGAGCAAGCAGCTGACAAAAGCAGGATCCTGGGAGGCCTTGCCTGACAGAAATAAAACAGAACAAACCGTTCCATGGTGAAAGCTTTTTGAAAAAATAAACAAACACAACCTCACACAGACAGTCTCAAAAGTTATTTATTTCTCAGGTTAGCTAACAGGACAACTCCAGTTCACAACTACAGGAAGGGTTTCACAGCATCATCAGCTCCTCACAGAAGCCTCACACTGAGGCAGCAATGTTGGAGAAGCCACACGGCACAGGATGCTGCATGGCACAGGCATTTCTCAGTCGCTGAAAGAGGATCCCTTCCCGGTCTTGAAACAGCGAGCATCAGGAGGGGAAAATCCAACAGAAAGGCGTCTACTCGCCTTCCTACAGTGAGGCTGGTCACAGGTCAGGAGCTGCTGCTTCTGAAGGGGATGGGGAGTCCTGCCAAGCACTCGCCTCCTGCATCGCAGACCTCTGAATCTTGTCTCTCCAAATTAAAACTTCTTGATGTATTTTTAGAGGTTCAGCAATTAATTACTTAGTTTTCCTTCTCAGCCCTACCAATTAGACTCCTCATATTAAGAGAGCTTCATGTTTCAGGCTGAGGCATATGAGCTATCAAAGAATCACAGCACGCCATCCCTTGTCTTTCTAAAAATATACGATTGATGAACAACACAGTCTACTGTACACCAAAAAACAGTCTCTGTAGCACTCCTCTGGGAATGAGGACCCCAGCACAGCTTTGCTGTCTGCAGCCAGAAGAAATGTATGCTGGTAAGTGCTTCATGCTCTTGTGGAATCTTTGTACATCAAATTCTAGTCAACAAATCCCAGACTTAACTCTAACCAAATAAATAAATGTATTTTTGGAACTAGAAGTTGTTCCAGAGTATCTGCTCAGTTTCTCCTTCCCGCTTTTGAACATTTCTGCGGTGGCATCACAGACCGTATCACATGTGAACTGCCAACCTTTGCCAGGTCTGCTTTGAGGCAGCTGGGGTTTCTGATCCGATCACAGCATTTGCTTCAGTTTGTGCGTTGAGCAGACACTCTCCCTCCTTCCTTATGAGACTTTTTTGCTCATTAAACACAGACTTACCACTATCAGGACATGAAATGTCTCCCACCCTTAGCCCAAAGGCCCTTTTGTTTGCTGGCAATTTTTTTTTCATTTAGTAACACTGAAAGTTTAGCTCTCGTGTGCCAGAAGAGGCGAGCGTACCGGTCTTACCTCTCTGGAAGGAGCTCTCCAGGTGTCCGTGGGACTTGAGCACAGAGCAGGAAGCTTCCAGGCGTCTCTGAATGTTGACAGTGGCCGTTTTGACAATGTCTGCAGCAGATCCCTGAACAGTTGTGTTCACAGCCTGTCGCTCGGCCTAAACAGAGAGAGTTGTTCTCAAAACCCACCCGAAAAAGAACACCAAATCCAGCAGGCCACCCGTACTTCATTAAAAATGATAAATACATAGCCAAATACAGGCACAGTAAAACCCCCAGGTAAAGACTTTGTTACATCTGCCTGAAATAAAGAGACGTTGTAGACTAGCTGCAGACACAACATTTCTTCAGGTGTCTGAGAAGAGCGTAAAGAAGAAGCGTAAACACATGGTAACAGTTTCACAAGGAGCAGAAAAATCTCAAAGTTAGAGTACCATGAGACATTTCTGCCTACCTTCAAAAGCATCAGGAATGGATAAGCAAAGGAAAGCAGCTGGACCTTACAGACTAATGATCTGGTCTACTGCACTGAACCCTGACTGCCAGAGGTTGCAGCTGTGCCAGAACACACCAGACCACACTATGACACAATGACATTTTTTTTCCCCACAACCAACCTCTCTCCTAATCCCCTCCTCAGACAAGAAAACTGTATTCAAAGGTTCTTGTCTCTTTGATTAGAGCTGAAATGTGTGCAAAAAGTAATGGGGAAGCTGAAATGAAAAGTGAAGATAATTCATTAACTGGTCTTTAATATGGTTTTAAAGAATAAATCAAAGTTGAGCAGAAAACAAAGCATCTACAAAGCTGCATGCTGAAGTATCCTTCAGCTTAAATAGTCAAATCATTTCAAAAAATGTTTTTTGAAAGTCTTCTTGTTTTCCTTTCAACTACGTGGAGTACAAACTCGCCCACCTCCTCCCTCTTCCACTCCAGTCTTCAATTTCACACGACCTGAGAAGCATAATGCTTCCTCCCCACAGAAATGCACCAACATCTCCCCAGGGAGTCAATTCACTCTCACTGAAGTGGAGTCTGTGACAGATACGTCTGGAATGACCTTGAAAACAAATAATGCCAGTGCAAAGGCATATATTAGGTAAGTGTTTATCTAACAAGTTAGAGCAATTTTCCTTTGAGGGGAAATAAGGAACAAATGCGCAAAAATACAGGACTTAAATGCCCCTTCTTGTTCAAGTGCAGACAGCGTATAACATACGAAGACTGCTGAGTGGGAGCTACTCAGCCTGAAGAGTTAAAGCACATCACTGTGTGGAGGCTTTTAAAAATCATGTCCACTTTTTTCAATAAATTACTCACTCCAGCTCCAACGTGGGAGTTCTGAAGCGAGGTGAGCACTGTGATGACAGCGGCACGCCCAGTCGCAGAAGACTGGCGTCAAGCAGACCGTGACAAAAGCTCTGGTATTCAGAGAACAACTGAGGGAGCAATGAACTAAGTGAGAAGAGGAAGGTCATGACGAAGGTGGCTCATAGGAGCCTAGATCATTGGACTAGATGATCTTTTGAGGTCCCTTCCAATCCCTAACGTTCTGTGATTCTGTGATTCATAGACTCTGTAAAACTGCAAAGAAATCTAATAATTTATTAATTAATAAAAAGGCACTGCACTCAACATACATGAGCTTTACTGTAGGGGTTTGGATCTTTGATAGCTGGCAGGTATCTCCGTCTTCCCAGGATGGTCTGCACAAACCCATCTCTTCTGCAGCTCCTCACTGTCTCTTTCAAGAATTTCTGAATCCCTGTGAAAGGCAAGAGAAAGTTTTCCCTAATACAGCTGCTGTCCCATGGTGACTTCTCGCTGGGGTGACTGAAAGCAGTCTGGGACACCCACGCAGCACACAGGTAGTTCTTTAAATTTCTTAGACCCTGTCAGTGGACAAGGACACGCGATCACTCATTCAGCCTGTTCACAGCTCTGCTGGGAAACCTATTAAGACTTTTGAGGTGGGAGGGAGTGCAGAGTGTCAGGATGTCTGGCTGTGCACAAGGAGGTAGGAAGCCCGTTCTGCCCAGTGCCCAGGCACAGAGGATCACACGTGTGTTACTGATAATGGAGAGGTCAGGCCCTGGGCCAGCACTGGAAAGACAAGGGGAAGGACGGGAGTAAGCTGAAAGCAGAAGTCAGAGCCCTTGATGCCTCAGGCTGCCTGACTTCAGACCGCGTCACTTCAGACTCTCGGATGAAAGCAACTCACCCGCCTGCACTCTGCAACAGAAGGAGTGAATCCACCAAGAGCATTAAAAAGAAACTTGGGTCAGAGAAAGGTGAGACAGGGAAGAGTCTCTTTCACTGCAAGTTCAGGTAACAACTGCGCTGAAGTTAACTTCAGGCAGTTTCTTTCCAAGTTTTACAAAATATAAAACCTAAAAGGAGCTATTCAAGACCAAGACTGACAGCATTAGTCAATTAATTGGGTGTGTAATTTAGATGTCAGCCTGGCAATACATGTAAGTGAAAATCCGTAAGAAGTGAAGTTACAATACAAGGTACATTGTGGAGCTTGTGTGTATGCACGTGTACCGAGAGAGGGGAAGCAGAAAGTCACTTCTAGTGGTCTTGAAGGAGAGACAGTCCAGAAATTACTGGAGAACAAACAGTCTCTTAATAGGACACCATTTCTCAGCTTCTGTACCTAACACAACAAACCCTGAATCTTCAGAACATAATTTTCCAGCTCATTTCTAAGTTTTAGGATTAGTGCTAGCTGTTTCTCATCTCCTTTGCCCTCCATGTATTTCTGATTGTAGCTCTACTCTCTCTATAGCTTTCCTAAAAATTAAAATCCTTCTTAGAAATGCAGCAATGTATTTTTACAAAACATGGGAGAGCTGCTCTGAACAGCTGGATTAAAAATGTAAGGGTTATATGCAAAACAGTTTAAAACTCAATGAAAGTAAAAGACAAGAGCAGAAATGGTTATATTTAAAAATCACAAGAAGTGTGGTCTAAAGTTGTATTGCATATCCTTTGAAGCTGTGTGTTTTAACAAGAAAAAAAGTGTTTATTATTCAGAAAGTCAGGAGCTTTAAAATGAATCCCCAGGGCTTATTAATTACTTAAAAAAACCCAAACAACAAAATAATTAATGTAGTAAGCAAACAACAAGGTCCTAAAGATGAACAGAACCAGTGCGCAGAGTAAAACATGGAGTATCAAACTGCTGCACTCATGCAGTGGACATTTTCAAAATGAAAAGCTTTTCCAAAGAGATAGCAGAGGGCTGAGACAAATTTAGGATTTGAAGAGACATGGAGAGAAGGGATTAAAAAAAACACATCACCACGCAGCTCCCAAACAGCCACATCCGAACCTGTGTATCTTGATTTGAAGGAGTCAATGTAATTGGCAGCTTCGATTTCATCAATCCCCATCTGCTCGCCTAAAGATTTTGCTCCTATTCCATAGATGATTCCGTAGCAAATCTGCCAGAGGACAGCGTGAAGAACCGCGACCATATGGTGAGCCATGCGGAGAAAGCAGAGCCAAACCAAAATGAGATTCACTGGAAGACAAGTGTCTAGGAACAAAGGCAAACACTCAAGAAGAGAGACTACCTCTGAGTCCGAGCCATTCATGCTGCTTTTCTCCACCCTCATCCCCCAAAACCCAGACAGCTCCAATTGAAACGTATGGAAAGTGGGAGGACATACAAAGCAATTACTGAAGAATCACGGCCCAAGCCAAACAGAAAGCCACACTACTGTGACTCCCTGACGTTTTAATCACTGAACCTTCCTGCCCAGAAAGCTGCTGCTGAATTTTTTTCCTAAAAATTACCTGTTTAGCTTGCTGCCTGGTCCTATCTCCAACAGCTTCAGGATCAATCATTTTCCATTCTGCTGCAATGCTCTTAAAGACATCAGTACCCCCGTTCAAGGCTTGAATGAGTCGACAGTCACAAGACAAATGAGCAAGGATCCTCAGCTCAAGCTGCGAGTAATCAGCAGCCAAGATTAAGCCACCTGAAGTCAGGAAGGGAGCAGAAATCATTATTTCCGAAATTACTCAAATATCATTCCAAACACACGACCTTCCATCCCCTGAGAAACTGGAGGCCTGAACCGCATCAACTTGACGGTTGCCATCATTCACACCTGTGTGGTACCAGCCCAAAGAGGATACAAAACACACTGCTAAACCACAGGACTTTTCCCTCACTCATGTAGGGTAGCCTGAAAGAGGCATAACCACAGCAGGAAGGACTGAAGCTCCCCTTGCACCTTGTGCTCTGACAGTTTTCCACAGCCATTTCTATGCAACCTCAGTCTCCGTTTTCTTGCAAATATTTTTAGGGGTTGCATCTGCCACTGCTAAAAGTCGTGCCAAAAAAAAAAAAAAGCAGAAATTAAATCAGACACATTTTTGCCTGTTTCCCCAACGCCCAGGCCTGCCTGCTTTCCACCCAGCCGCTACATCTCCAAAGCCACCAAAAACACATAGACAAGTGTCTGTCCAGGTGTCTGTGCAGAAGCCTAGCACCTCACAGGAATGATTGGCACAGAGGGCAGACCAACAGACCTGTACCGAGCCAGGGCAGGCAACACGAGAACCGACATCTGGAGAGAAAGAACTTTAGATGGAGTGTGATTTGTATATTAAGAGCTGCCTAAGCAGAGCTCTTTAAAAAATATGTATTCTTAAAGAAAAAATAAAGGTGTGAACATTTGAATTACAACATTTTAATACTTTCCCCAGCTGAAATGCTCTCCGTTACAGTCTTGTGAATAATTCTGAGGGCATGCTAACTACTGCATTAGTTTTCCAAGTGGGCTGCTCATTCAGACATACACTGTCATGTATTCTTAACTCCTATTAGGTCTAGGATTTTTCTGTTAGCTATATTCTTAACAAATAGCTGCTGCAGAGCAGGATCTGGGCATTACCTGGAAAGGGAACAAAAGCATGCCTCATGCTAACAGAAAATGGTAATCCTCTTTCTTCAGATCTGTCTTCAGTCTGAAACTTTGGGCCATTAGGCAAAATACTGGAACGCTTTCTGTATCTGTGGAGACAAAGAACAACTGTTCTTCACCAGTTTCTAAAACACTTAAAGATGCATAATCATTTTGACATAAAGAATCAGTGAAAACAAGTGAGACAGTAGCCTCTATTCTGGACAATCTATTCCTAAATTTGACCATGGGCGAATTGGACAGAGGCCACAAGTACACCTGAAGGGATTTAGGACAGAGAAGGCAGAGTTACTGAATGCCTTCTTTGTTTCTGTCTACTCTGTCGGAGGCTGTCCTGAGGAGCCCCGTGCCCCTGAGGAAGCCAGGACTATGGAGGAGTTTGCCTCGGTTGATGAGGACTGGGTTAGGGAGCAATTAAGCAATCTGGACATCCATAAATCCATGGGTCCAGATCGGATGCACCTGTGGGTGCTGAGGGAGCCGGCTGAGGTCATTGC